AGGGTTTGTTTCCTTCTGTCTGTATCTTTAATTAGCTTCATTTAATTTCCAACTGATTCTGAATTTCTGTATTCCATGAATATTTCTATAACTACAAAAACATGGATATTTTCTTTCTTTTTGGGTGGTTTACAGACTAAGGCTGCTCATAAAAAGCTCAGGCCCAGCTTTATTAGAAGCTCGTTTCCTTCTTAAATCTCAGCTCTTTAGAAGCTCATTTCCTTGTCAAATTAATGAGCTACAATTTGTGCTTAATATCCAAGCTTGGTTGCTTAGAACAAAGCTTGATCAACACTGGATTGTACTCTTTAGGCTTGTGAGCAAGTTAGGTAGGTCAGTAGGTTCATGCTATTGTCAACATGCTTCAGTAATAAACTTTGAGAAAATGTAGGATAAAATAAAATCACTAAGGCATGTGTAGAATGAAGGTTGGAATTGTGCATTTCAACGCCAAAAGCGTAATGTTTGATTGAACTGACTGGCTAGTTCATTCAGCTAGAGAATAGACTCAATTTCACTCAAACATGTTACATAACAAAACTTAAAAAGACCAGGCTGGAAGCTAGATTGACCTATGGCACCCCAAGTTCTACTTACATCATACTGAGCTGGGTGCAGAACTCTCTCTCTCTCTCTCTCTCAATGCATGTACATGGCTTAGTAGTTTCTTCTTTTTTGTTAGTCATGTATTTTCTTTTCAACCAATGAGATATTCTGACATTATTAATTTTCTATTTAGGGTTTTGCTAAAACTTGCATAATTTTCAATGAAATTGGTTAATATAGCTACAAAAGCTAAAAGTCCAGAGACTTCAGTTTCTTATGTCTATCCTGATTTGTGAAGCTTTTAATGTACAATTGACAAAAGTGTTCCATTTATTTATATTGGTCACCCCTTTATAGTAGGATGTTGAAGGGAAATTTTCTTGGTAGTATGGTGCTGATATCGCCTTCAAGCAGTTTACTTGCAATGATTGCAGATAGTGAGGGAAGGACCCCATTGCATTGGGCTGTGGATCGTGGGCACCTGAACATGGCAGAGCTACTTGTTAGCAAAAATGCCAATGTTAATGCGAAGGTAAGGTTAAAATGTAAACATTTATTTTAGGTAGGAAAAAGTGTTTTCCCAATTCCATCCCCTGACGATGCCCATTTTAAAATTCTGTTATTTTGGTGTTGGAAGGACAATGATGGCCAAACCGCACTGCATTATGCTGTTATGTGTGATAGAGAAGGCGTTGCTGAATATCTTGTGAAGCAAAATGCAGACACAAGTGCAAAAGACAATGATGGCAGCTCTCCGTGTGATCTCTGCGAGTCAAACTGGCCTTGGTTGCAGTGTGCAAAGGAGTAGAGTCACACTGACTGATGGTTTACTTACTTTGTGGTTTGTTCAAGCTGTAGTAATTTTTGAGAAATTCCTTGTGGATGATGTATATTGGTGATGTATAACCCCAAACCTTTTTGAATCTTTTGTCTTTGGAAAGATTTTCAAGTAGGGCAGTATGTGTAAGTGTAGCCTTCTTTTTTTGGATTATTCAATTTCCCCAATCGTGGAAGTGAAAAGAAAGGTGGAATTCACTGGGTGTTACTTTTACACTATTTGCATATCAAATCAATCGCTACCGTTTTTTGGGTCACCGTATCGATGCCTACTTTTTGCCATTGTACTAGCAATTTGTCTTTTTTCATATTTTGATAGTTCCCGTTCTTAAATGCTGCAAATTCTTTGTTTACCTTTTTATTTCTCTATTTAAATAATAATTTATCTTTAATTTATCTTTGGTAATCTCGTTATCCTTAATTAAAATCACAGAAACGAATATATAACTAATCAAATTAGTTTTATTTATTTATAAATATTAGAAAGACAATTATTTTCTCTGGATCAGCGGCCATGAGTGGTGTGAATAATGTCCATCCATCCATAACAATTTTATCAGTTTCCTTTAGCTACAAAATGAAAATTGTAAATATTGGAAAACACCTGCCTGCCTGCCTGCCTATTGCCTAATAAGATTGCTAATTTGGTACACCCTACGATGTCCCCCAAATCTTCTCTAATAAATCCAAGGCTATATCCTATATGTGCCTCCCACTTCTAACGGTCACTAACCGTTTCTGCCACCACCCAATATTCAGTTGGTCGTTGGCTTATCATCATCACCTTGTCCCATGCCCTGGCTTCTTTGATGCCAAACAATGGCGAAGGCAGTGGTCTATGCGCTACTTGCCACCGCCTTTATCCTTTTCATGGTCTTCTGTCCCTCCAAACAACATGGTCACCACGATCATCTTGGCCTAAACCGGCGTCTTGGCTTCAGAGATCATGTCCCGGTTTTCGACCCTCTTGTTGCCAAGATGGAGCGATATACGGAGGAAAATGGATTAGGAGGCGAAACTCATAACCTGGATTTGGTGGAACACAGTCCCATGATGGAAGCCAGTGAGGTTGAACAAGTACATGAATATTTTAGCGACGAGGGAAAGTTGAACCTCACATTGAGGCTGCTCAGTTTGTTCCCTTTGATAGACCAGGCACCAAAAGATAGCTACATTAGCTCCAATGAGCTCAAGCACTGGCTCACACAACAGGCCGTGGAAAGGTTGAATTACAGGACCCAAAATGAAATGGAATCATATGATAAAGATGGGGATGGAACCATTTCTTTCAGCGAGTATCAGCCCAAGTTTTCCAGTCAGGATCTCGGTACGTAACCCTTTTATTTATTTAACTACTTGGATTGGATGGACGTTGATGTTATGTGGCTGTGAAAACAGAGAAAAATGGCATGGAGCATGGAGAAGCTGGATGGTGGAAGCAGCAATTTGATAATGCTGATGCTGATAAGAATGGAACTCTTACCTTCAATGAATTTAAAGAGTAACTTCTCTTCATTTTTCCATATCACCAAGGCCAAAACTTTTTTTTGTTGAAAATTTTGGTTGATTTACCTTTCCTTTTGCATAAATCTCTATTTCTGTTGCAGTTTGTTGCACCCAGAAGACAGTAATAACAGCGAAATTCATAAATGGCTGTTGGCAGAAAAAATGAAGTACATTCTCACATGTCTTCTCTGTTTTACTTACTTAACATATAATTCATGCTTCATTTTTTCTTTTCCTGAATAGTTTGTTGCAATGCAAGGCAAAATAGATTGACAAAATGTCCGCCTGTAATGCGCAGACGGATGGACCAGGATAACGATGGAAAACTAAATTTCATGGAATTTTCACACAATGCTTATGATAGTTTCAAGAGTTACGTTGAATTCGAAACAGGCGGGGCCAAAGCACCCACAGCAGAAGAGAAATTTGCAGAGCTTGATTTGAACAAGGACAAGTATGAACACATGCCTTGGCTTGACCCTAGCTAACAAGTTTTTATTCTAAATCTTCTTCTTTTTTGTTTGCTTTGCTGCCGAGATTATAGCTAGAGGAATTTAATTAATTACTGAGCTGTTTCAAAATTGCATGGCAAATTTTTGACAGTCTCTTGGAAGTGGAAGAATTGAAACCCCTGCTGCATTACCTTCACCCAGGAGAACTGTCCTATACTAATTATTATGCAAGTTTTCTTATGTCTGAGGTCAGTAATTATATATATATATATATATATATATATATATTGCCTGAAATTCCTGTTTCAATTTCTGTTCCTATTGTTTGACATATGCTGAGATGAATTTCAAATGAAATATGTGACATTTTTTTAATACAGGCGGATGATAACAAAGACGGCAAATTAACGCTGAATGAGATGCTGGATCATGATTATGTTTTCTACAGCACAGTCTATGATGCCGGCGATAATGAAGAAGATTATCACGACGAATTCTAAAGTGTGATGTCATCCCATGGAAATGCCCTTTTTTTTTAAATTTAAAAATATTCTTTTGGCGGAAGCTTATCTTAATTTTGTATATAATTTTTTCATTTGAAGTTGCTAAAAATACTCCAAAAAAAAATAGAGCAACAGATAATTATGTCTTTCTTTAGGTTAAACATTGAGTGATGAAAACTAGTGGTATCTTAGGATCGTGTTTTGTTAGAAGCAAAATAGAAAGTTTCATTAAAAACTCAATTGTTTTCTGCATATTCTCCCACTTGACATAGTTTCTTCTTCTTCTTCTTCTTCTTCTAGAATAGAAGGGACTTACGTTCATTTGTACCAAAATTAAGAAAAAGAAACAAAACATTTTTAGTCCTTGAGAAATGTTTTTGACATTGTTTGGAATAGAAAAACACCTGGAAGCTGGAACATTAAAAATAATCATTGTGTCCAAAGTAATATGCTTTGCCTTTTTCCATCATTGGGTTTCTTCCTTCTTCCTTGACCACAAGTTGGAGACAGAAGGGGCAGGTAATGTGCTCTGCTCTGCTCCTTATAACTGAGAAAAGTCGTATGCAGTTGCAAATTTGCAATCTGAATCCATCCTTGTATCACATTAAGGGCTAGTTTGGCATTGCTGTGATGTGAAAATAATCGATGTCAGATTTGCTGTGAGAGAAAACAGTTTGGCATTTGGTAAACTTTTTGTTAAGAGTGTTGTTGGTACTAATTCCTGCGTAATCAGAAAATGATTACCGTATAATCATTAAACCTAGCGTATCTTCGAAACTGATTCCCGCATAATCAGAAAATGAAAGCACCTCATTAGCTGCTTTCCCTTATAGCTTTCTCTCACAACAATTTTTAACAATAAGTGATTTTCTCATAATTTACCAAACGAGCTGGGCATCCCAAAATATTTAAAAAATCACTTATTACCCCAAAGCTTATCTATACTGTCTTGTTTACTTGTACACAATACTAATCATCTCCTTTGTTAAGATTAAGATTAATGATTAATGATTTTGATTTTGCCTAACAAGTTTTTATTTTGGAAAAAAATAAAAGAAAAAAGAACAATTATTTCGAATTTGGATTTTCTGAAACCTATTAGTTACTTGCTTAGCCCAAAAGAAAAATACAGAATAATGCCTCTTGGGTCCTAAGATGGGCCCGTAACTTTCGATACTGATTCATTCATAAGAAAAACCTATTTCCGCGAAAAGCGTACTGCATAATAGGGCCCCACGAACAAATTATTGTAACCAATTTGTTTGAAAAAATTAAATTTATAGCTTTCTGCAATCCAAGTCCGTCTTAGCAATTTGCTTCTCTCTTTTCGCTCTCTGTGTCTCTGTGTCTCTGTCTCTGTCTTTGTCTCTGTCTCTGAGGAAGACTTTCCGCTCCCGATCCGTAATCGTACGGTCTCTCTAAGTCACTTTTTTCAGGTAATTCTATCGCTTCCCTATTCAAACCCTAATTTGTTTTAGCGGTAACTTGGGTTTTGAATACTGTTGTATGTTTGATCTTGATTGTATCTGTTCGATTCGCTTAATGAGTATTCGGTTCGTTATTTTCTAAGTAATTTTATGGTCTGTGATTGCTTTTTGTGATTTTTGTTTTGGTATGTGTTAGGAAAGTGTATGCCTTACTGTATGTAATCTCATTCGATCCCTGATTTTCTTTTTATTCAATTGTGGTTTGGATTTTCTGAGTAGGGGATGCGTTCGCAATGGATTTGTTTGGTACAGGTAGGGTTTTTATTGGATTAATATCAGTGGAGTAGGGTTTTTGGTTGGTGAATCTTGGTTCTTTGAATTTAAGAAATTTGCGCTATATATATATATTCAAATTTGGTTTCTTGATAATTCGCTCGTAGTCTACAGAAACAGCCACTATAGGTTTTGGTACGTTATTTGTGGATATCGGACAAGTTTGTGTGTGTATTTTCCAACTAATTTGAATCTGTTAAATATTTGTATTGTTTGCGACCTTTTCGCAGTGCTTTTGTGAATGGTTGTCAGTTTGATTATTTTGGATTTGCCAAGAAAAATTCATGGGTTTGCAGTTTGCAGTCACATCTTTCTCTATACCAAATTGCTCAAAAGGAAAAAGATTTGTCCAGCCTTATATTTCTCTATGCTCATTTGATTTCAATTTCTTTACTGGCCATAGTTGTGCTCTAATAATCCAGATCAATCAAAATTTCTTTTGGACAGTTTTGTGTTCCCTTTAAAATGTTATGATTCATTTGTCTCCTTTTGCTTTTGTATTGATCCAATGTATCTAAGCAATGAAATTTTTACACTCTCAGATACAATACAGCGATGGAAGTTACCCAGGTGCTTCTGAATGCTCAAGCTATAGATGGAACCGTGCGGAAGCATGCTGAAGAAAGTTTGAAACAGTTTCAGGAGCAAGATCTTCCATTGTTCTTGTTATCTCTTTCTAGAGAGCTAGCAAATGAAGAGAGACCTGTTGAGAGCCGCAAATTAGCAGGTCTTATACTTAAGAATGCCCTGGATGCTAAAGAACAACATAGAAAGTTGGATCTTGTTCAAAGATGGCTGGCACTGGAAACTTCTGTGAAAACCCAGATTAAGATGTGCTTGTTACAGACCCTCTCTTCCCCTGTATCAGATGCCCGTTCAACTACCTCTCAAGTTATTGCAAAGGTTGCAGGAATTGAGCTCCCCCAGAAACAATGGCCAGAACTGATTGTATCATTGTTGTCAAATATTCACCAGTTACCAGCTCATGTAAAGCAAGCCACTTTAGAGACTCTTGGGTATTTGTGTGAGGAAGTCTCTCCCGATGTCGTGGATCAAGATCAAGTAAATAAAATACTGACAGCTGTAGTTCAGGGTATGAACACATCTGAAGGGAACAATGATGTTAGACTTGCTGCCACCCGAGCACTGTACAATGCTTTGGGTTTTGCTCAGGCCAATTTTAGCAATGATATGGAACGTGATTATATAATGAGAGTTGTGTGTGAGGCAACTTTGTCATCTGAAGTGAAGATACGACAGGCAGCTTTTGAGTGTTTAGTCTCCATTTCTTCAACTTACTACGAGAAATTAGCCCCTTACATGCAAGACATCTTTACCATCACAGCAAAAGCTGTTAGGGAAGACCAGGAACCTGTTGCCCTTCAAGCCATTGAGTTCTGGAGTTCGATTTGTGATGAGGAGATAGATATATTGGAAGATTATGCGGGTGATTTTAGTGGGGACTCTGATATCCCTTGCTTTTACTTTATCAAGCAGGCACTCCCTGCCCTTGTCCCGATGCTTTTGGAGACTCTTCTTAAGCAGGAAGAGGACCAGGATCAGGAAGATGGGGCTTGGAATATTGCTATGGCTGGGGGCACATGCCTTGGGTTGGTTGCTCGGACAGTGGGAGATGATATTGTTCCTCTTGTTATGCCATTCATCGAAGAGAACATAACAAAACCAGATTGGAGACAAAGGGAAGCAGCTACGTATGCCTTTGGTTCCATCTTGGAGGGTCCTTCGGCTAACAAGTTAACACCTATTGTTAATGTTGCTTTGACGTTCATGCTCAGTGCTTTAACAAAGGACCTGAACAACCATGTGAAGGACACTACTGCCTGGACACTGGGAAGGATTTTCGAGTTCCTTCATGGTTCAACTATGGATACGCCCATAATTACCCCAGCAAACTGCCAACAGATCATCACAGTTCTTCTTCAGAGCATGAAGGATGTTCCAAATGTTGCTGAGAAGGCCTGTGGTGCTCTCTATTTTCTGGCCCAGGGTTATGAGGATTTCGGCCCATCACCTCCCTTAGCTCCTTTTTTCCAGGAAATTGTACAGGCTCTACTCACTGTTACTCACAGAGCAGATGCTGGGGAATCACGATTGAGGACTGCTGCATATGAAGCGTTGAATGAAGTTGTAAGGTGTTCGTCTGAAGAGACTGCCCCCATGGTGTTGCAACTTGTTCCTGTTATCATGATTGAACTGCACAAGACTCTTGAGGGCCAGAAGGTTGCTTCTGATGAGATAGAGAGGCAGAGTGAATTGCAAGGACTTCTTTGTGGGTGCTTACAGGTCATTATTCAGAAACTAGGCTCATCAGAGCCAACTAAATATGTTTTTATGCAGTATGCGGATCAGATAATGGGACTTTTCTTGAGGGTATTTGCCTGTAGAAGTGCTACTGTCCATGAAGAGGCCATGCTTGCCATTGGGGCCCTTGCATACACAACTGGCCCAGATTTTGCAAAATACATGCCAGAGTTTTACAAGTATCTGGAAATGGGGCTTCAAAATTTTGAGGAGTACCAAATCTGTGCTGTCACAGTTGGTGTGGTAGGGGATATTTGTAGAGCAATTGAAGATAAGGTTCTACCTTATTGTGATGGAATTATGACCCAGCTTCTCAAGGATCTATCAAGCAACCAGTTGCACCGCTCTGTAAAGCCTCCTATATTCTCCTGCTTCGGTGATATAGCTCTTGCAATAGGAGATAACTTCGAGAAGTACCTGATGTATGCCATGCCAATGATCCAGAGTGCTGCAGAGATGTCTGTCCACACAGCAGGTGCTGACGATGAAATGACAGAGTACACCAATTCTCTGAGAAATGGAATATTGGAGGCATACTCTGGGATTTTCCAAGGTTTCAAGAACTCCCCAAAAACCCAGCTCCTGATATCTTATGCTCCTCACATCCTGCAGTTCTTGGATAGCATATACATGGGGAAAGACATGTGAGTTGTTTTAATGTCTAGTTTTTGTTACAAAATTGCATTTTTTGTTTTGTTGTTTTTCTAATTTCTTTTTTTAAAATTATATCCACTGGTATGTAGGGATGAAGTGGTGATGAAAACAGCCATTGGTGTCCTTGGAGATCTAGCAGATACACTGGGAAGCAATGCAGGTTCTTTGATACAGCAATCTCAGTCATGCAGAGACTTTTTAAATGAATGTTTGTCTTCAGAAGACAATTTGATAAAAGAATCTGCAGAATGGGCCAAGTCGGCCATCAGTCGTGCCATTTCTGTTTGAGGCTACTGCCACTTGTTATATTCCATTTGTTTGGAAGTCCCTGCATGCATTTGGGTGTGTTGAGTTGGGTCATAGGATTGCATGTGTCAAGTCATCGCCATTTTCAGACAACAGAAGCTGTCAGTAGTCTTCAAGTTGTCACTAACTTGCATCATCTCCAAAAGTTGTGACTAACAATTGCATCAGCCCCTCAGGCTTTGGGTGGTGAGTGTCACAGAAGCGGGTCAAGGCCTGCAATAAAAATTAACAAAATTCTGTGTGTCACAGAATATGTGGGGCATCGGAGGAAGGTCAGAGACGTTCATGAGCGTCAGTTTTCTGAGTCACCGAGGTTAATTGCTGTTTGAAAGCTAAACAAAATCTTGTTAACCTTTTCCACCACCCCGTGGTGATTTCCTCCCAGAGAGATTGGGGTGAGAACAGATGAGTAATGCCTAATGTTGTCGGGGTACTGACGTCTTATCACTACCCTCAGCAGCATATTCCTGAAAAATCCTCCGTAGCAGGTCTTCATTCCTTGAATTCAGTCAGCTCCTCCTTTTGTTCCGTGTTTGCATATTCGCCATCTTTTTACTTGTCCTAGCCAGTGCGTATTCCTGAGCATCTCCGTATCAAGTCTCCACTGTTTTCAGTTCTCTCAAGAGTTGAGCATTAGCATGAGCTATTTTGGAAACGCAGATCTTACATTTGCATTAGCCAGTTTTCATTTTTCATCTTTGTTAGGAGGTTGTGTTAGCTCATATTGTCCAATACTATGCATTCATGAAATCATTTGTTATGTCGCTTTTTGAAAGACAGGGTTTTCTTTTTTGCTTGGGGAACATGTAATCATATATGTTTTTGTTTATTCTCTTTTGGGAAGTTGTTTATCATTAAACATCACAAATTGTGATGGCATAGGGAGGAATGGAGCATGATATTATTTGTTGGAAGAGGCCTTGTATTTGTTTATCTGCCTGCCTCATGTGTTGTTTCTTTAAAGTGATATTCCAAAGTTTAATGCATAGCAAATACATTGCTTGAATAATCATCTTGTTGAAGAAGCTATCAGATTAGAATGATGGATTATTGCTATATTTAGTTATGCGCACATTGCTAATGCCTTACTAAGGTTTTATATTCGATTGCATTGGATTGGGGTCGAGGAAGCAAACCCTGAGAATTGCATAGGATTAGGTCAGCCCTAATTAGGATGAAGATGATGAGCTTTGATTGGATTGGAGGGTAAAAGTAGGAGGAGTTGGATAAAAGGTGGTTTGTAAGTCTTTTTGACCAAGTACGCATTCAGCGCACCAATTCGTATTCAGCCCTGAATTGCAAAAACAACCAAATATAGTTATGTATAGTTTTCAAAGGAAAAAATATATGGTCAGGTAGGTTCAAAGAAGGTAGCTATTGACAATTTGTGATATGACTGCCACCATCCATACCCAGCATCTTTTTCTGGTAGCCCCCCCTCCACACCATGTGAGGTGTGTGAGTAGTACTACTACTTTTTAGCCCAAAACAATTGGATGTTTTTTAATCAGAGAAAAAGAAAAACAGAGGGCAAAGGGCAGATGGGGATGACATCATCACAGTAAGCATCCAAAATGAATAGCAAGTACCACTTGGATTGAGCACTCTCTCTCTCTCTCTCTCTCTCTCTCTCTCTCTCTCTCTCTCTCTCTTCCATGCCATTGCCATGATCCAACCATACATAGACTTAATCTATATGTACAAAACCCTAAATCAATCATCTTAGTTAAAATAGTAAAATACCATTTTATTTGTTTTCATAATAATGTTCCCCGACAACCTAGAACCATTGCCAAAAACGGAGTTCCTCTAAACACCATCATTACCAACATATACTCCTCTTGGGAGATGATTACTTACTGCAACATTTTCTTTGTCGTAATGTTAATCTACGATTATTTTAAGAAAAAAGTTAAAAAAAAGTTGTAGTCCGTGTTGGAAGAGTACTTCAAAATGTTGACTTGTTCGCCCCCTCGCTCCCTTACCTTATGATAGTGCTTGCTTCCATTCCATCCCACTAGTGGGTCACCAATCGTTCAATTCTAATCCTTCCTATCTGATTTTTCATTGTAGCCCACTCTCTCTCTCTCTCTCTCTCTCTCTCTCTCTCTGTCTTTGTATTCATCCATTGACAAACCACAAAGTGATGAAAGCCAAAATATGAGGACCAAAAGCACAATTAAACTCAAGTGCTGTTTGGTTTGGTACCACGGAAAATGAAATCTATCAGAGAGAAAAAGAGAGAGAGAGAGAGAGAGAGGTCAGAAGAACATAAAAAGGTTGAAAGTCGTAGAGAAAATGATGGCCGTCCATAAACTCCTCCCCCATTGTTTATGTTTTATCATCATGATTCATGGGGCTTAATTAAAAGTTCCATTGAGATTGAGCAATAAACTTATCGGTCTATATTAACAAGAGAAAGCGTATTTAACCTCATCAAATCAAAGATATATAAGTTATCTTTCTGTATCTCATAGAGCCATAATCTTAGAAGAAGAAGAAGAAGAAGGGGAAAAAAAGTCTAGGTCTAGGGTTTTCTATGATATTCATCGCATGTCATGATCATTCACGCAATTTCTGTACACCATGAGCTAGACATATCTACTAGTTTATTAGTTTTTACTGAAACAATGGGCACTTTAAAAAGTAGATGTGCACTGCACCATTGAAACATTTGCAACACAAATTAGGCTTCAAGGGGTTATGCGTCAATGTCGACGCATATTGGTGAAGACAAGGGGAAAAAAAAAGAGCAAATTAACTTAATAATAAAAAAGGTGACAACCACACAAAAGTAGGCAGAAAATAACACCCCCCCTCTCTCTCTCTCTCTCCCTTTTTTTCTTTTAAATGGTTGGAATTTAAGCCATGCAGGGGATTGTTGTGGTGTTTGTTCACATGCATCAGTAAATAAATTCAAACATTTTACTAGTATAGTTGCGCGGCTGTACTCTTTAAAATATATTCGACTATTAGTTAGCATTTATTGGATGAAACGTTTTCTATTCTCCAACTGGGAGTCAACTTACCTTTGTTTCTGATGCTCGGAATTTTCCTTCTCCGGTTGCATCAGCAAGGTCTTGTATCAAAACCTTCGATTCAAGAGAACGCTTTAAGCAAGGTGAAATTGCAACAGATTAGCTACTGAAAATCAAGTTCCATTTTGGACGCAACATGAAATGAAATAGTGCAGTTGACTTGTCTTGTGTGCTGCTAAAGGGTAAAAAGCATTTCATCATCATGCTGTTGGGTTGCTATTGGGTGGAGTGAGTGCACCAGCACACAATAACAACAGTTCTCTCTCTCTCTCTCTCTCTCTCATAGTAGTGCATAATATGCTACCACTCACTCTGAGAATAAGCATAAAAGGCGACTTCCCCACCTCCCCCGCTAGAGCCAAACATATTCATCCCCCATTTTAACTATTGATATTTGATACAAGAAGAAGAAGAAGAAGAAGAAGAAGAAGCCATATGGCTCTTAGAATCAATGTCTTTCTTCTTCTACTACTTTTCCTCCCACTTCTCCTCATTCCCTTATCTTCAGGTGAGCAGATTCCTACAACACTTAACGTTAATTATATCCCATTTCAGTTTCCTTATGTTTCAATTATCTTTTTTTGTTTTTTTTTTGTGTGTGTGTGGATAAAATGTTTCAATTATCTTAATAAGCTGACTTAAGTAGGCATTGTTAATGAAGGGTTCAAGGAGGATGGCATAGACCCCATTCACTTACTTCACAAGGTACAATTAATTAATCTCCTTGTTCTCTAGTTTCCATCATAAGATTAATTATGGAACAATATTCTAGCATGCATTATTATTATTAAATACAATTTAACATTAATTATTTATTAAGAGATGCAAATCATATGCCTTCCTTGCTAACGAATTATTTATGTTTCTGAAGGATGGAATCGTAATGAATTCGAGGAAGCTTTGGATGCTTGATGCAACAATGCAGGATTATGATGATACAGGAGCCAATCAAAAACACGACCCTAGAAGGAAACCTGGCAATGGAAGGAACCCATGACTGCCTTAATAATGTGGCCTTAAAACTCTTAATTAACTAATTAATGACACTACTATTTTCTCTCTCCCACCCGCCGCGCCCTCTCTTACCGACGTTTTGATCGATCGTCTGTAAGGAGACATATATAAGATATAGCTAGCCATCCGATCGAATGAGTTTCTTCATCAAATTAATATATATATATATATATATATATATATATGTATGTATTGTTGTATTTGTCTAGTTCTTGTTGTGTGTGTGGCCATAGGAATATATACAAGCATCTTTATATATGTATATATATAAATCATATTCTTCCTTTGGCTATTGCTTCTGATCATCTTATATATATATATCTATGAAATAAGTACTGGCCATTGCTTTGCTACTGAATAAATAATTTTTAAAAGAATGAAGCACTATCTTCTATCTCATAATTAACAGTTAGAAACATAAATTAAATGCCTCAAACGTTCATGCAAATGTCCATGTCCCATAGACGATGTATAGTTGTTAGTATCGGGTTTCAGTGATTGAGGTTTCTCCATTATCATTTGCAATTTGCTTTAGTTGGGATTTCGGAATCTCAAAGAGTCATATTATGCATTCTCATCTCATGCACCTTGTCTCTGCCGTCTCCTGTTTGGAAATTCTTCAACTGTGATTTCAGAACCTCAAAGGCCACTCCTGTAGTTGTGTTGTGGGGAAAAAGGCACTTCATACGTACGGCATGAGTTGATGGTTGTGTGTGTGAGAGAGAGAGCGTGAGAGAGAGAGAGAGAGAGAGAGTCTGAGAGCGATCCTCCCTCTTTGGTTTAACCATTGCAGAAATTCATAGCTAGATCACATGTTGTACACGTATTTATAGATTCTTTTTCAAATTCAATAACAAACTATCAAGCTAAATCATTGAGCATGTGAATTCTTTGTTTACTACTAAGATTATTCTAATTCACCTAAACCAAAAGTATCAAGGTGTGGAGTGAGGCATGTACACTTCAAGATTATACAAATAAAATGTGCGAAAATCTACGTTGATTTCCATACTTCCATTTATATACATTCTCTGGAGTCGGCAGGGTCCCAATTCATCCGGCTACCGTGAAGTCAGCTGAATGAATTGCCGAGCTGAGGATGCCTCAGAGTCAGATTCATGTCTAAAGCAAAGAAGTCGACATCCAAATTCCAAGCGACACAATCCCAATTGTAGCAAAAGCTTGCCCCAATTCATATGCGAAATTTTGTTGTTGAAATGGCAAACCTTGCCAGTCTGTCCGGCTGTGGATGAATCAAATAAAACATATCACAAAAACCCAAAACAGAGAAAAAGAAAGAGGAAGGTGAAGGAATGCATATCATTAAGAATAAAAACCATAATGCATGCAGAAGCCTACCCCAAATCGGCAATTACAATGCTGATATTATCTTGCGAGCGTTGATCCTATTCAATATGTGCAAATTTCAGGTCATTAGAAATCTACCCGAGTAAAGAATCTAGCTAATCTGTGCAGAGTAAAACAAACACTAATGTAATTTGTTACCAAAGCAGCTTGAGCAAGCGCATCACAAGCTAGCTGAAACATAAATAAGACGGTATAGTTAATCACTGGATCACCATTTGTGTTACAACGTTAAAGGAGATTGATGTTGATGCATTCAAATAAAATAAAGGAAGTAGTTAAGCAAATTGATGCACAAGCCATACCTGAACATCTCCATGTTGTCGAAGTTGATTCCTTACGAAAGCCACTGCATCTGAGCTGAAAAAGTGATCAAGTTTTACGCGAGCGATTAAATTGATGAGAATATGATAATTACATGGAGTTTTACCAAGAGTGTCAAAGACCAGTCCAACAAACCTGTTTATGTAGTCCCATAAGCCATCAGATGCTAACAGTACAAATTCAGAATCTTTCCCAAAAGTTACTTGAAAAATGTCTGGAGATGCAGTCACAAGGTCCCCACTGAATTGTATACTGGCATAACATAAAAGGGATTCTAATTAATGTGTTCTTAGTTGTCTATATCCGTAAAACGACACACTAAAATAAAGAGAAAGAAACAATCTAATTTACACTACTATATTGAATGTTTCGTGCCGTGCAGAAACCAGAAGCTTATTCATATGAGATGTATCTCAGACACTATAGGCTACTTTTTATAATGCGAAAGCATATTTCAGTACTGCATAACTGAAAATTTTGAATCGTATAAAAATTTGCACCTGTATTGTCATTCTCTAAACCTAGACAGGGGTCAACTTGAGGTTATCATAGGAATTGGGTGATATTGTAATCTAGCAGGTACAGAGAACACATACTTCCTCAATTGTTCACATTAAAATGGTGATCACTTATATATCAGCCTCTGATATGAATTCAATCATCTAATTATTCCAGGATATTTGGTCCAACTATATGCATTTGGTTAATATACGAGTAGACTAGAGTTTAAACCTTGTGTTTAACCTTATCAACTATTACCGGAAAATTCGTATCTTTATGAAAGTCATCCACTACATACTTGCTAGCATTGAACTAATCCAAAAGCATCCTAATTAGAAGGAAAGAAACAAATAGGTGAAACTAGTAGTCAAGCAAGAAACATTAGAGATTACCTACCGAGAAACAAATTTTTCTGTCCATCTCCCTTCTTCAACTCCTTTCTTCAGCATCCTTTCCATAACAAAATGCAAAAGACCGTCAGTATATGCATATTCTGGTTGTCTATATACCAAAGCTTCCAGGAAAAAACCCAATTTTTCAAAAGGATGAGCAAATGTTAAAAGACTGAACTCGTTTTTCTTTGTCTTGAACCGCATGTCACCAAAAGCACGAGATACAGCGATGTCTCCACAGATTCTTCCATTGACGATCTATAGGCACCATATGTAAGTTGTCAACCGGTTTGTTATTGGCATAAGAAGTATGGGGAATTAACAGTAATATCCAAAAAAAAATGTGATGTAGTTTAGAGTTATGTTTTCCAAAAGCTTGGAACATTTCTAAGGTTAGAAATTATATCAAGGTCAACAAAGCAGGTTCTAGCTCTCATTTTCTGTAGAAGAAACTGAGAACTATAAGATATGGCTCAAAGAAGTAAACATGAATGAATAAAGAAAGAAGAAAAACACACCCATCCACCTGCTTCTCTGATTCTTTTGATTTCTTGAAGAGAGACCTTGTTGCTTCCATATGGTCTATGAGGATGGGTCAGTACCTCTGCTTTTCCAGAACAAGATTGAACCTGCATCAGCCAGTCAGCTGATAAATACAGCTAATTACATGCAACCCTTGAATTTATTGTTTCATCATTTTCCTTTGTCTTCTTCATTTAATGGCATTTGATAAATGAGCTACAAATGCTGAAGACACAAAGACGACACTAGGATTGAATACATACCACGCAAGAATCACCAACATGTGAAATGACCAGCGTATCATTTTCAACGAACATAACGGTAGCTGTTGAGCCAGATTCATCTTCTTCTCCATTCCTTTCAAGCCTTTACAAAATCAAACACCATCTAAACCTTCAACGCAATAATATACAATCTACAATCATATTTGATGCAAACACCAAAATCATATTTTTTTTCTTCCTTCTCATCAAACCATGTTCTTTTTTACTTTTTTTGCTTACCAATTTAACAATTTTGCATCCACTTTTTTGAAAGTCTCCTGTAATGCCTCTCTAATGGTCTTGAAATCATTTCCACGCAATAGCAGCCCACCCTGCAAAGCCGCACAACACTCTTTGTAGAGCTCATCCCTGTTATACAAAAGAGTTTAATTTTAATTTAGCTTACTGGAATTAATTAAAAAGCTAATTTCAATTAGTTGTGGTCAAATTTTGACAATAAATGAATAAAATTAGTAGTGGTCAAACCTGAGGAACTTGACCGAGTTGAACCCGGCATGGCCATCAAAAACGGCGGCAAATGAAAACCCATCAAGGCCATCGGACCGCACAACGACACCGTCTTCCATCTCTTCTCGGGCCCCCTGCAAACTGGTCGAACCCCATCGAATTCCCGCCACATCCGTCAACGAAGAACCAGGCGCGTCTATGGCAATGGCCGAGCAGCTTCGGCTTCTTGCTTTTATATTAACAAGGCTGCTTTTGTTGGCTGTGGTCTTCAATGAGTCTCCATGGTATTTGGTTAAGAGGAACCTCTGCAACCGCGGGCTCAACAAAGCCATTTACCACCACCACTAGTGCTACTGCTACAGAGTTGAACAGCGAGTTGGGACGAGTTCAGAGTTCAGAATTAGGAGTGGTGGTGGTGGTGGGAGGTGATTTGGTAATCATGTGAAGGATAAGAGAGAGCGAAGCTACACCTTTAACTGCATTAACAGATTGGGTAGGAACGTGGGACCCTTTTCCATTTGACCTTCCACCCCAGTTTTGCCACGTCAGATGTGACCCACTTTATGGTGGGTCCGGACGATGCTGTTAAATTCATGGCCGTAGTTCAACTAACTGTGAATGTGAATTGTGAGTGAAAATTAACCTAAAAAGGGCGATCTTAGAAAATATATTTATAATACGTTACTGTTGTTGTTGTTGTTTTCCTTTTTGTTATAAGCAATAGGGGAGGGGGGGTCTGCTCTTCACAATTCAAACTACAAGCCCTTTGCACTAAATGAGTAGCCGAAACAAAATAAACAGGTACAGATTGAACAACTTGCAAGCGCACCTGTGCAGAAGTAGACTAAAAAGAGAGGGTCTGAGAAGCAAAACTAATGCACTGATAGATTGAAAACGGAAACTATCATAGATAATAGCAGCCTCTAGTCTAAGATTAACATTACAACATGAGTAAGTGGTGTATGTAATCAAGTAAATTCTTCTTTCAAATAAGAAGGGCCTGGCTTGAAGGGGTCAGATTCTTCATATGCCTCTGGTCTAAAAAACCCAGCATCATTCACCCGGTTACTTATCACTTGAAGGATGGCTTTCTTCTTGCCCCCATACTCATCTCGGTTGTTCTCCACATACTCGATAGCCTCAGCCGCTATCTCATTGACGAAATCAAACCGGTTATCCTCTGATAGGAGTAGTCTCTCAATATCCATTCCCAAGAGCTGTCCTCCGTCCTTTACCTTCCGAACCTGCTCCTCGAGGAAAGGTACTCTCTCCAACTTGTATCGCAACATGTCATCTTTCTTTGTCTGAAAAATGAAAATTTTGCACCCAATTTGAGTCAATGCCCAATAGTACAACATGGGGAGGTTCTGAATCACAGCTTAATATACTCTCTAGTCATTCAAGAAGCAAAACTTTCATTTCCAGATTTTCAACCCACATTTCCATTTCAGATGGGTAACAGCAAGAGATTGAAAACAGTGAAAGACTTCATGCCTTGTAGCTACAACTGATCTTAGCACTTGCCAGATAGAGATTCAGCTGAAAATGTCACTTTTGCTTACAAAACAATCCTCACTAGTTCACACTAGAATTCCCCATGAACTCAAATTCAGCTGAAACTCAAATTCTTGATAGATAAAGAGTAATGGGTTGTTTCTACAATCTGAGATGAGTAACATAAATCATGTTTTGCAATTACTATATTACCATAGCCTTCTCATGAAAACTCTAAAATTGAGTTCCCAAAAAATATTTCTTTCTTTTTTGTTCATCGCTTCTTTTAGTGCCCCATGGGATATAATTCACACTACTAACAAGAAATACTAGGCGGCAGTCAATTGGAGTTTTTTCCTTCTTACCAATTTCCTTCGCCGCCACACTCGCCGACCGCTGCCATCCTTTTGCATTCGGGAAATTACCTGCAAAATGTTTACATAACAGAATTAAGAAAGATTAACAATTAAAATCAAATAGAGAAGAAAGCTAGAAAAAAACTGCAATTTGAAACCTGCGGCCTAAAGGAGCAATTGGAAAGCAGTGAACTTTCCACTCTCAGTTGCACCCTCTGCAGCCAAAAAGATAACAAGAACCAGAGCACAAAATAAGAACTGGAATTTCGTACACATTTAGTTTCATTTTTGTCCAATTATTTCAGAGAGATAGAGAGAGAAAGAAATATTACATGGGAAGCAGGTGAGAAAGTGAAGCCTAGTGTGGAAGAAGCCATCGCTGTGCGTTGGCCGCTGTGTTGTTATCCTCCACTCTGATCTTAGGTTTGGTCCTTTAGCAGTTCTTGTATAAATGTCCTCACACTAACTTAAATTTACATGTATGCCATCGCCTTTGACGCGACCTTGCAGAGATCAGAATTCAGAACCAACCATATCAATTTGGATGGCACGACGATGGGTCGAGATCTACTAGTTCGGGTTTAAAATCCGAATTCAACTTGTTCAAGTTATTCTTTTATTATCCAGACGAAAAAATAAAAAATATTTTATATCCTGGCGTGAGTTGGTAGGAGGTAGGATTTCCAATATCCCTCATTTTTAAATAACAAAATATACACATGGGACTGGAAAAAAATATATATATATATATATATATTCATTTTAATTGTAGAAACATTTTGGAAAAAATAAATAATAATAATTTAGAAACATAATGCTCGCTAGAATAAAGGACTTTGGTGCCAACGTTATAATTTTTTTTATTGAATTGCGTTTTTTTATATTTCAAAATACTCGCTAGAATAAAGGACTGGTGAAAATATGTACTCAATATATTGGCTCGTTT